TTTTTTTGCTAATTCACACTTCTGGTGAGATGCTTGTCTAGTTTTACACATTTTTCAATCCCAGATTAATATAATTTTACCTAAACTTCATCCCACTTCCTTCCTTCTCTGCTTCCTCCAGGGTTTCGCGTCATCCAGGCTAGCCTCAAACTCGCTATGTAGCCATGAATGGATGACCCTGAACTTCTGATTTTCTGTCTGTACCTCCCAAGTGCTGGCAACTGACCCCGGGCTTTCTGTAGGCTAGGCAAGCACTCCACCAAATGAACTATATCCCCAGCCCCATCTCAGTTCATTTCTAAAAGTATAGATACTATATTCTCTGTCCTTTAAATTTTCCAAGGCCAAAAATTCTTCATTCCATACCCTGAGTTTATCTCTGAGTAACAACACAGATATCTAATATCAGAAAGCAAATCCCCAAGTTTAAGAGGGTGCAAGTTTCTATTTCTCAAAACTATCTTACTAATTTAAAAGGCTAAAAATGCACTTTGAGTTCGTCAAATTAAAAATGACATCTTGGGCTGGAGAGATGACTCAGTGGTTAAGAGCACTGGCTACTCTTGCAAAGGACCTGGGTTCAGTTTCCAGCACCCACATGGTGGCTAACAACTGTCTAACTCTAGTTCCAGGGGATTTAACACCCTCTTCTGGGGTGCACTTACATACATGCAAGCAAAACACTCATACACATAAATTTTAATTAGTTAATTTTAAAAATAAATAAACATGAAATCTCAGGACTGGAGAGATGGCTCACCAGTTAAGAGCACTGGCTGTTCTTCCCCAGGACCCACATGGCAGCTAACAATTGTCAGCAACTCCAGTTCCAGGGGATCCTACACCCACTTCTAGCCTTCATGGGCACTGCACACACGGTGCACTTACATACATGCAGGCAAAACACTTATACATATAAAAATGAAATCTCAATTTACCTTTGTGTCCAACCTCTGAACTTACCAATTACATGTCTCTGCAAAACAAGATCAATGACCCGCAGACAGATGTTCTCTAACTGCTGCGTAATCTAAAGACAAATTTTAAATAGTCTAAAATTCATTGTGCTAATTCCCAAGTTAATATATAAATTAGTACTATCCCAATAAGGCATCTACAAAATAATTTTGAGAGGGGGGTTTGATAAATTCATTATAATCTTCATGTGAAATTAAATACAAGGAAATTCTAAGAAGCCCAACAGCGGGGTGGTGGTTAGATCCACAGAAAATTAGAATTAGATATTTCCTGGCCTCATATTCTACACCAAATAAGTACCTGATGGATCAAAGATTTCAATGTAAAGAACTAAACACAAAAAACACTAGGAAAAGTAAAAGGGATTCTTGTACAACCTTAAAGAGGCGAAGTGCCAAGTAAGAACTAAAAACATCGAACCATCTGACTGCAAAAATCAATGTTCCTGCTCAGGGCAGGTGCAGTTCAGGACAAAAGAAACACACACTGAAATCCTGCCAAATGGCATCACACACAAACATCAAATTCCCCTATGTGAAACCAACAATTCCCAGAAAAATACACAGCGCTATGAGAAACAAAAGCAGCAGCCTCACCCTGACAAAGACACCTGTTCTCATGCAGGGTGAGATAACAGGTTCAGTACAGGAATGTGGGGTGACCTCAAAGTAGCCACGCTGCGAAGTCTTCACTCAGCGTAGATGCTAACACTTGTATCAGGAGTGTGGTGCTGGGGAGAGACACACTCCACGAGTGTCCCTGAAGAGCATACCGGCACAGGTGTGTTCCCTCAGCCAGCAACCTCACCTCAGAAGTCACCTGCAGATGGCCATGCAGCACAAAATGTCAAAGGCCATTCTGTGCAACGATGCCTGTGACCTTAGCAACCAAGCATCTAATTAAACAGGCAGCAGTGTCCACTCAGTGGGATTGGCTATATAAATGCAACACGCCATACAAGGACTATGCAGCATTAACCCATATACTTAATGGCTAGTGTGAAAGGGTCACAGATACATTAAATTAAAATGTCAGCTAACACTGCTGCTGAGCTTGTAACAGCTCTATCCTCGGAGCAAAACAGCTGCCATCTCCAACAGATCAGCTGTACCTGCTGGCAAGAGTCCATCAGGAGGTCTGTGGACTGCTGACGGTCTCTTAGAAATAGAGGGTGTGGGGAGGGTCACTGTACCCTCACCTGAGTATCCCTCCCAGTCATTTATAGGTATTTCTGCCCTAACAAACAAAGCCTTGGGGTCTCAGTGAGGGGCTGGAGTGCATAGGCTAGGGGAGGTTAACTAAAGAGGGGCTCCATCCACCAGACTAGAGAGGAGCCATCATCCATGCTAAGTGAAGATTTTACAGTGTGGCTACTTTGAGGTCACCCCACATTCCTGTCAGTGACTCTTGAATCACTACTTCCTGCTAGTAAGCCCAACAAACTCAGTTAGAATCTTTTGTTGGGGGCGGGGGGGGGGTTGTTCATATCTCCTCCAGGGAAGGAATTTCAGTAACATGTTACCATCTTCACAAAAGACAGATAAGTGTACTCACTTTCTGCTAGTATGGCAATAGAAAAATCTTAGGAATAATAATAATGATAATAACAATCCCCACTTTCGGAAAAGAGAATACAGTAACTAAAGAACTGAGTTAGAAGTGAATTTTTCTGGATTTAAAAATAATTTAAATTATTTCATATCTTTGCTGGAATTAAAGATATGAAAAGGTCTGGTGTGGTGGTGCACGTCTTTTGAGTTACTCAACATGTTTGCACCATGTATTTTTTAGCCAAGTAAAACTTAAAATCTACCGAGGGCTATACTTTTCACGTAAACACACAATTCAACAAGCACATTCTAATACTCAAATTTTACTTTACATTTTTTCGTTTGACATAATAATCACTCATAGTTATGGGGACAGTTTGATAAATTTATACATGTTAGACTATTGTTTTGAAGTTCAAGTGATCCAAAATTTCCCAGTTTAGGGACTCTGCCAATACACTTAAAACATTAAGTCAAAATGCACCTGCTTGAGCACCATTTTAGGTTCCTAATTCTGCCATTTCACACGTTAGGCAGCCACAGGCGGGTGTTCCTTCTAAAGAAGCACAATCTCCTGAGTTTGCTTTTACTAAGCTGAAGTTCACAATGAAAGGCCCAGGGGCTGAAGAGATGCTCCAAGGTTAAGCGCACCTGGCTACTCTCGCAGAGGACTGGGTTCAGTTCCCAGCACCCACACTGGGCAGCTCACACACAACAGCCTGTAACTCCAGATTCAGGGGATTCACCTCTGGCCTCTGTGGCATTCACAAATACATGTACATATCCACACTCAGTCACATAACTATAAATGATAAAAATAAATCTTTAGCTGGGCGTGGTGGCATCCACCTTTAATCCAGCACTTGGGAGGCAGAGGCAGGTGGATTAGTGTGAGTTTGAAGCCAGCTTGGTCTACTACATAGTGAGTTCCAGGCCAGCAGGGGCTACAGGGAGACCGTGTCTCCAAAAAACCAAAAAAAAATAATAATAATTAAATCTTTAAACAATTAAAGAATGGGTGACCAGGAGACCAGATCACAGCTAGTTTGCCTCTATTTATGTAGAAGACTTTAAGTTTTCATCTCTAGGCAAAGAAGCTAGATGTGGCTAGCTTAGGGTGTCTTGATCTTACCTGCAGTTACTTCAAATGCTCCTTTAACATTATTTGAAGTTCAAAGAAATTTTAAAATCATGAGCAAAAAAATTTAAACTGAAAGATAAAATTCTATTCTGCTGTTTGTCCTCCTCCCATACCCACACTCTGGAAAACTAGGTTAGGTGATTTCTAAGGTCTCACGCATAAGATTTAAAACACAGGTGAAGTCGTGTGGGGTGGCGCATGCCTTCAGTCCCAGCATTTGGGAGGCAGAGGCATATGGATCTCTGAGAGTTCGAGGCCAGCCTGGTCTCACAGTGAGTTCCAGGCCAGCTGTGGCTACAGGGAGACCCCGTCTCAAAAAAACCAAAAAATAAAAAGAAAAAGAAACCAAACACAGGTGAAAGAGCCATCTTTAAGTATAGCTCTTTAAGTATATATAGTGGCTTAATTCAGTCTGTCTCACTGTTACCAGGGAGACCACAGAGTTTCAACATGAAAAGACATAAAAATGAAATACTGAATATGGAACTCACAATTCACACTAAGCTCTTCGACAGGTCCAGGAGAGCAGCATACCTACTTTAGGAACCCGGCATCTCCCATGGGTATCTGATAAATGCAGGCTGAATCCGCAGCCACGGAGCTAACAACACTAAAACCGACACCTTTTCCTAAGTCCTTACCTACAGAGTAAGCTGCTGTCACTGTCAAGCATGTCACCCTGCAGAATGAGCACACAGCCAATCTACATTAAGGAAAGGCTATGTTATTCTTGGGAAGAACTGGGTTCTCATGAGGAAAGCCGACATGTGACTAGAATGGCCCAATGCCTAACCCAGATGCACAACTGACTAGCTGTGACCAGGTACATGAACCCTGAACCTCCAAAGCCTTGCTTCTGCCTCTAGGGGAGACTCCATGACCTGCTGACATTCTACGGGATGAATCCTAGATAGAATCTATCTAAACTCTTACCTCTGGGGCCAGGAGATGTTACTCCACTGGTAGAAAGCCTGTCTAACATTCTCAAAGCCCTGGGTTCCAAGTTCAGCACTGCATAAAACAGGAATGGTAGTAAACACCTGTAATCCAAGCACCTGGGAGGCAGAGGAAGGAGGATCCAGAGTTCAAGGACATCCTTCACTACAGAGTAAGTTTGGGGCCAGCCTGTCTCAAAAAATTAATTCTTATCTAATATTCTTCTGAGATTTGAATGTCTTCAAGCTCTCACTTACTTCCTACCATTCATACAGTACCTTTTAAATCAGAACTCTTTACTTAACACCTGCCACTGTAACTGAAAGCTAGCTGTCACTCTCCACAAAGATTAGACTGTGGATTCACAGAAGGCAAGTGTCCCGTTCTACTCAATCTGAACTTCGCCAGAAACCTAGCCTGGCACACCATGGGTGTGATGATGTGAACTCAGATTACAGTCTACACTGTATTCTTTAAAAACACATGAAATTTCTCTCCTCGATCATTTTAATACATTTCTTAAAAATATGAGGGCAGTCAGGCGTGGTGGTGCACGCCTTTAATCCCAGCACTTGGGAGACAAAGGCAGGTGGATCTCTGAGTTCAAGGCCAGCCTGGTCTACACAATGAGTTCCAGGCCAGCTGGGGCTACAGGGAGACTCTGTCTCAAAAAAGATTTTTAAAAGTGGTTTTGGAGGGCAATTCAGTTCGTTTGTAGAAAGGGCCTGACTAGCCCAGGTGGGCTGTGGACTCACAATCCTCCTGCGTAAGTACTGAGGTTAGGGCAATTTTTCAAACCTCCCAACATGCTTGAACACTAAAACTGGAACAATATGGAGAAGATTAGCATGGCCCCTATGCAAGGGCGACATGCAAAACCTTCCAACCAAACTACGTATAAATTTAAAAACCAAGACTTTGGGCCAGTGAGACAGTTCGGTGGGTAAAAGCAGTTGCCGTAAAAGCCCGGGCACCTTATCTCAAGCCTCAGAACCCACAGCAGAAGGAGCAGTCAGCTCCTGAAAGTTGTCCTCCAGCTTCTACACACTCCATAGCACATGCAACAACCCACACACAATAGTAATAATAAACAAATAAATAAAATAAATAATAAATAAATAGACTAAGATTCATAATCGCTCATCACCTAACATTACCATTACCACAGAATGCAAAAAAGCCCACCTCCTGGTGGTCCTCCACAACTGTGAGGATGGTATCGATGGTGTGTAAGAGCCCCATGGCCATGACTGTTTTGTCTTCAACTTCCTCATATTCATCACTTTGAAGAACTTTACCAAATATCTCAGCCTGCAAAAATCACATTGAAATATTCAATAATTGGCACCATTACACCCACCGCAAAGGGGAGAGCCACACAGCCAAGTATCAGCTTTGCTCCATGCTCTGCACCTTCCTGACAGAATCACCTTTTTTCTTACAATAACAGAACCTGTTGTGCTTTAAATATAACATTCTTCCTTATCTATTAAAGTTAATGGAGTGGAACATACATTAGATATTAGACCCATTAGCTGATATTTAACTTGTGGTCATCATTAGGCATATAAAATCAAAATCTAGAAACACTGAAATCAAGTGTTTCTAGAAGAAAGATATGACAGAAGGTTAGAAAATGGTCACTGACCACCCAGGAAATGGAACAAGAACAGGCAGAGACAAAAGGAGAAGGGAAAATAAGAAAACGGGACTCTGTTCCAGTCTGTTCCAGTCTGATACTCCTTTATTAGGACATATGGGCAGGAGGGAACGGTATCAAAATTGTTATCAGAGGCAATAAAAACATTCTCCTGGGCTAGCAAGATGGCTCCACAGGTAAAGGTACTTGCCACACAAGCCTGGTGACCTGAGTTCAATCCCTGGAACACACATAAAAGCAGGAGAGAACCAACTCCATAGAGTTGTCCTCTGACCTCCATCCACATAGCACGCATATCCCCAAACACATATCACATACACATACAAATAATGCTAATAATTCTTTAATTCTCCAAAATAAAAGGCGAGATTCCAGATTGCAAGTCCAGAAAGTGAATGTTCAGAAGGCTCACACCAAGTAGTGCCATTATGAAATCTCAGGATGTTATAGGTGAAAAGGGATTATCCTGAATGGGATTAGGCTTAAGGCTAATTAACTACCAAACATCTAAATGATCAAGGCAAACACCATTATATTAATATTTTGTGTACACATAAAAGCCAACTCTATCTCGTCAAGAAATTCCCAATGGACTCTGATATGAACATTTGAAATTTGCCCTGTTCTAACTTTTTTTTGGTTCCCTGTCTAGAACTTGTAATGCTAAGTACCCTTGCCTTTACTTCTCCTTCACATGCCCTATTTACCAGTCAAGGACCTTCTTTTCTCCCTAAGGAGTTATGCAATTTGAGAGTCTTTTAGATAGACCCACTGAAGGGGTACTCCAATTGCCTCACCCTGTATCCCTGTTCAGCATGGAAGAAGCCAGAGCGGTCTGTGTCCCAATTCCCTATTGGTAATTTGAGTAACCCCTTCAGAGGATGGGGTGATAAGAATAGGAGGTAGGAATTGGCTAGGCAGTTAGGGTAAAAAGAACCCAAAGAAAAGTAGCCAGTTTCTTGGCTAAAAATCAAAATGTCCTTGGGATTGTTAGCAACATACTCTGTTCCAAAGGCCAAAAATGTCAAAAGTATCTGTGAGCACTTATCTAATCCCTAAAAGATTTTAGGGTTACCTTTTCAGAGGGGTGGAATGTTAAAAGTAGCAAAAAGCCCCGAGAGAGGGGTCGGGAGGGAGGATTGGAGAGATGGCTCAGTAGTTAAGAGCACTGACTTAAGAGCATCTCTTGCAGAGAACCCGGGTTCAATTCCCAGCACCCACATGGTGGCTATGAACTGTCCTTAACTCCAGTTCCAGGGGAATCTGACACCCTCTTCTGACCTCCATGGCACTGCATGACATGGGTGTACGCACATACACGCAGGCAATACATTCATATACATAAATAAAATAAAAATAATAAATATGAGAGGGAGGGAGGGAGGGAGGGAGGGAGGAAGGAAAGAAAGAAGGAAGGAAAGAAGGAAGGAAAGAAGGAAAGAGAAAGCAAGTGATGGGGAGATGTGGGAGGTTTTGGAGGGAAGGAGAGGACATGGATCTGGTCAAAACACCTTATATGCACGTATGAAATTCTCAATAGAGTTTTTTTTAAAAAAAATAAAATAAGAGTCAACAACAAACTAAAAACAAAGAGTCAACTCCAAATTCAGGAGTTTATTTATTTCGACTCCTCAATGCTTCTTTAGCAAACTAGCACATTCAGCCTCACTGTGGTTATACAGATAAATCCTCGGAATGAAGCATTCTGTCCTAATGGAGTGAAGGGAAGAGGAGAACGTGGAAGACTCCAGAAGTAACTGAAGGAAGCTCAAAAGGTTCATAAGGTGCACAGGGCTCCTCTCCAGGGCTATTAAGGCAGCTGCTAAGGGAGAGGAGACTGAGTTGCCTCCACGTCTTGCAGGACGCTCCAGGGATGCAGCTTTCGTAAGCACTTGTACTCGTGGAATGGGGTTTGCAGGGATGCAGATGCCCTGAGTCAACCACTCTCCCGTAATGGGCTTCTACCCACACTGCTACAACTAACCCAAATAAACTCACTGGTTCACTAAGCTAGATCCAGTGCAATCATTTCTTGGGTCTGTCGTAGGTGCCCTAGCTGGAGTAAACAGATGCTTGTCCACATCTCCCAGTAAAAGTCAGTGCCACTTACCAAGTGCTGGGTGGTGTCGATAGCAATGGAGGCCACCTCCTGACTGTACTCACAGATCATCTTCTGGATGACATTGGTGACATCGTCGTTCTCGGTCTCCCTGACGATATGCAGCAGCTCCTGCATGATGGCCCTCACGTGTGGCTTCATGTGCTCCTTGGCTAAAGCAGTCAGACAAATGAAGTCAGCAAGGGTTAGTGTTCATGGTGAAAGGCCCTAACTTGCTAACCCCAGATAAGGTTCTTGATGTATCTGCACTCTGTGAGCAAGTCACAATGCTGCATCAAGTATACTCCTAGAGTCACACAGTATCAGAATGAGTTCTGCCCACGGAAGGAACGACAGCCCTGCCTCTCACCCCAAGAAATTCTAATTAAACAATCCTCTGTTATCAGTTTGACTTGGAGAATGTGAGTCCCAAATACAAGCGTAAAGTCTAACCCATAAAGACTGTGCCTAACACGGATGGAGCCAGTACTGTCCTGCCCCATCTCTACCCATGCTTCCCCCAGGAATCCTCACAGTTCGTCCAGTCCTCCCACTGAAGTAGACACAAGGCTCGTGTTCTTCATAAAGCTGAATTTACAAAGGTTTATTTGTACCTTGAACAGAAAATGTTTCTGAACAAACAAGACACCTTGTTTTCACTCACTGGAAGTATCACCTGCTCTTCTCAGAGCAGCCAGAACCTCGGCGCCCTTGAGTTGAATCTTGGTGCTGCCTCATCTAACCCTTCAACAGCAGGCAACATAAGCCTGATAGGTGGTTAGAGCCTCGCCCACTTTCATGAGGCTTAGGGAGGAACTAAGGCTGGATCTTCTCCTGATGCCTCACCCAACTCCATGTGGCCAGTTAGAGAGGAACCGAAGCTGGCTGGGGTCTCTGAATGCCCTGCCATTATAAACTGGCTTCCTAATCTAAAATTTTTCTGGAAACCACAGTTAACAGAATTTCTAAAATGGGCAGAATAAATATCTATAAAATTCAGAGGGTTGGCAAAAGCCCAGGAATCTAAATTCTGGCCCTTGGGGTTAGAGAACTCCTTTAGGGAAAGAAGCGAGTGAGATTACTTAAAAAGACTTTTATTTAGTATTTTAGTTATTATTTTTATTTTATGTGTATGAGTGTATTGCCTGCACGTAAGTGCACCCGTGTCATGCAATGCCTGCAAAGGTCAGAAGAGGGCAGTTGGAGCCCCTGGAACTGGACTTATGGATGGTTGTTAGCCACCATATGAGTGCTAGAAATTGAACCCAGGTCCTCTACAAGGGCAGTCAGTATTCTAACTGCTGAGCCATCTCTCCAACCCTAGGAAGACCATTTTTAAATAAACCTTTAAAGGGCACATGTTGCATCACCTTGCATCTGGTTAGAGATCAGGGACTGCAGCGCGAGGGCAGCTTCGACCTTAACAGGCATCTCCTCATCTTCAATCAGGCTCTTCTTCGCCAACTCAACTGCATTTCTGAGGTTCAGCTCATTATGAAACTTCAGAGAACTAAAGGCGTGAAGCACCCAGCAGGACTGCAATGAAGGGACAGGGCTGTGGGTTAGTCACGTGTAGCCTTCAGCAAAGCACCTCCTTCTTCAGAAGCCACCCTCTGTGGGGAGATCAGGATTTAGGACAGACCTAAGAACTTACTCTAGCGCGAAGATATCCCAGGTTAGACAGTAGTAACGGAAATACATGATTCTGCAGAAACAGCTCGATTTGGTCCTTGAATAAACTCTTCTGTTAGGAACAGAAATTCAATTGCAATGTGTCAATAACTCTTTTCCCATGCAAGATCCACCTCCCAAAAAGTGTGTTTATGATGACTTGCATTGAACATATGACTTTGTGAAACTGCTTGATTTACACTTTGTTTTTTGTTTTTTGGTTTGTTTTTTTTTTTTTGGTCTTTTAGAAACAGGGTCTCTCTGTAGCTACAGCTCTCCTGGAACTCACTATGTAGACCAGGCTGGCCTTGAACTCACAGAGATCGCCTACCTCTGCCTCCCAAGTGCTGGGATTAAAGACATGCACCACCATGCCCGGCACATTGCTTTTTTAAAAAAATATTATTATTTTTATTTTATGTGTATGAATGTATTGCCTGCATGTATGTGAGTGCACCCATGTCGTGCAATGCTGTGGAAGTCAGAAGAGGGCTTTGGATTCCCCTGGAACTGGAGTTAAGGATGGTTCATAGCTGCCATGTGGGTGCTGGGAATTGAACCTGGGTCCTCTGCAAGAGCAGTCAGTGCTCTTAACCACTGAGCCATCTCTCCAGCCCCAACACACATTGCTTGTTTAAAACAATTCAAAAATAACAGATCAATTGATTTTTACAGAAAGAGGAAATAATACTAAAGTCATTTCAGATCTTTCTTGTAAAGCAAAAGTTCCACGCTGAGAAAGTGACAAAAGTAAACCAAAAAGAAGTTTTTGGCTGGGTGTGGTGGCGCACGTCTTTAGTCCCAGCAATTGGGAGGCAGAGGCAGGCAGATCTCTGTGAGTTCAAGGCCAGCCTGGTCTACATAGTGAGTTCCAGGCCAGCTGCAGCTACAGAGAGACCCTGTCTCAAAAAGACCAAAAAAAAAAAAAAAGAAAGGAAGCTTTGGTTTAAAATGTAGGTGACAAGGCTAGTGAGTTGGCTCAGTGGGTAAAGGCACCTGCCACCAAGTCTGATGACCTAAGTTCCCCAGGATCCACATGGTGGACAGAGAGAACAGACTCCCATTATCTGTACAAAAAAAAAACTGCTCTGACATGCCTGCATCCCCACACACATGCATATACACGTGCAAACATACACACACAATAAAATGTACTAAAAATAATATACACACATGAACACACATACACTTCACATATTTACTACACACATACCCCTCCACATACATGAAAACAATGAAAAATCTCAACCTTCAACAAAATCTCAGCTAGAGAACCAATCACATGCAGGGCTCCATCTTTCTTCCTAGGGTCAAAGTTCGGGTCTGTTAGGATTTGGTAACAGAACGCCATCATTTTGGGCAGTACCTAAAGAAACAGCAAGGATTCACTTCAGCTTGCATGAACCTGCATTGTGTTACTACTGTATTAAATATGCACAAAATCTTTAAATCATTTTATTTTATTGTGTCTTATCAAGCAATTATAAACTCAGTAAGAAAGGAATCAGATATACTTCAACCTTTTATTGGGTTACTGGGACAAAAAACTCTTTAAAATGACAGGCTATAACTGATAATATAGTTTCTGACACTGAGAGCATTAGAAGTCAGATCAATTCAGGCCAGTTTTCAGTTTTGGACTTAAAAACAATTACCTCTTTCCTTTTCTTTGCAGCAGTATACAGGAGGTTCTGGGCTGCTGTGGTAGGAGAGGCGTAATCTTCAAAAATATCTAAGATTTCAAAAGATTAAATCTTGTTAGTAAAAACACAAGTCCTTATTACACAGATTTTAAACCTGACCAGCCACTAGGCCAGACACCAAAGTCCCAGCCCCAGGACTCTCATGCACACACTATTTAGCAAACAGCATGTGCTGTCCTTTCAAGGGATCAGATTAAGAAAAAGCAATACACAGGCAGTTATTTCCCTGAACATAGAAAAAGTACTTTGCCATTATCAAAACACAACAAAAATAGAGTCTATGCCTAGCAGTGCTCTGGGCTGGCGCTCCAGGAATGGAGATGTCAAATACAGAAGCTTACTAAGAAAGACACGCATTACAAATGCACATCGCAGGTCAGGATGAGAGCAAGTGTGAAAGGGAAGGGACAGATGGCAAACGGCAAACCAGCTTCCTCTCTGTCCAGTATGAGACACAAAGCCATCCACGGACTCTGAAAACAGAGCTGGGACAGAGAGCAAGTGAAGACGCACAGAGGGTCTGGCTCTCAGTGGTGTGTAAAGGGTTATTTGCTGCATGCTAAAGAATTTAAATACTAACTAATATCATGAAAACTTCCAGGATTTCACAACAGGTTTCATTAAAAAAAAAAAAAAAAAAAAAAAAAAGAATCTGAAAACTTGGGCTGGAGAGATGCTCAGTGGTTAAGAGCACTGGCTGCTCTTGCAGAGGACCTGGGTTCAGCACCCACATGGCAGCTAACAACCATCCTAACTCCAGTTCCAAGGGATCCAACACCCTCTTCTGGCCTCCATGTGCATTGCACACACATAGTACACTTACATACATCCAGGCAAAACAAACATACACATAAAAATAAATCATAATAATTTTTAAAAACAGAATTTGAAAACATTACAAGTATCTGGTATTGTTGTTGTTATTGTTGTTGTTTTGGTTTTTTGAGGTAGGCTCTTATGTAACTCAGGCTAACCTGGAACTCCTGAGCCTTCTGCCTCCATCTCCTGGATGCCAAGGTACACCAACATGCAGTGCTGGGGATTAAATCCAGGGCTTTGTGCACAGTGAGCAAGCATTCTACAAACTGAGCTATATCCTCAGCCTATCTCCAGTATATTCTTTTGTAAATATAATAAAATAAACCAAATCTAAGTCTTTACATAAAATACAGACTACAGCCAGGAAAGATGGTACATGACTTTAATCCCAGCACTTGGGAAGCAGAGGCAGGTGGATCTCTGTGAGTTCAAGGCCAGCCTGGTCTACATAGTGAGTTTCAGGCCAGCCAGGGTTATAGAATGAGAGCCTGTCTCAAAAAAACAAACAAAATGTATATATAATATGTAATACAAATATAGGTATAATAACAACTAACTTTTTGAACAATTACTCTATGCTAAGCACTGTAGTACAACGCTACACCAGGAGTCCAGTTCCTGTGTCTCATCCCATCTGGTTCTCACCGCATCGCCACCATTTCCTGACCCTCACAGAGGCTGAGTCACAGCGCACATTGCTACAAGCACACAGCACTCACCTTCAGGTTCCCAAACACTGAAGCCTGAGCTCAGGTCAGCTTCTACCAAATCTAAAAACATTATTCTTGGGGGAAATGGTATGAATTTGATTAAAGGGTATTATAAAACATAATATCATCATTATTAATACTAATCAATACATTTAGACGGCAATACAGTCACTGTTTTCCACTGTGGTCACTTGTAAACGATATGATGCACCAAGTGATCTAAAGAGCCGCGGCGCCTCATCCCAGAAGAACGCAACTGCATGAAAAGCTGCTCAGCTGTTCTTCAGTTACCAACACTCTCTTCTAAGCGAGTGATGAAATTGCACACAGGTATTAGTTACTGTATTTTCAAAGAACTAAGATACTATCTTAGCGGATTGAGGAATACAGTAACGGTAGGTTTCTGAATGCTAAAGAAATACACTGAACATTTCAAAAGTGTAAAGGTAAGAGCACAGTGCCTTGTGTCTGCACTCCTGGTAGGGGAGAGGCTGTGCAGCTCAAACTCAACACAAGCCTAGGAAACACAATGAAACCCTTATGCAAAAAGTCAAAAGGAAAAGAGAAGCTGCAGACATGGCTCAGTGGTTAAGAGGACTCACTGCTCTTCCAGAGGACATGGGTTCGGTTCCCAAGCACCCATGTCAGGCAGCTCACAGTAATACTACTTCCAGGGAATCCAACATCTTCTGACCTCTGTGGGCAGCCACACATGCGCCGCCCCCCCCCCCCAATGCACATAAAGAAAAAGAAATCTTGGAAAGAGAAAGGGAAATGGTAACCACCTGAAGAATGCCTTAAGGTGAGAGGCTGGCTCAGAGAGAGGATACTTGCCCACATGCAGGGGGTCCTGGATTCCATCCCATGCAGCACCACATACACAAAAAGAACGTAGCTCACCTTGCCAGGCATGGTGGCACGTGCCTTTAATCCCAGTACTCAGAAGGCTGAGGGAGGACTGTCCAAAGTTTGAAACCAGCCTGGGCTACAGAGGGAGACCCTCTCTAGAAAGCATTAAATAGAAGAATGACTTATTCTGTTTATCAAAGCAAACAAGGAAAGGAGAGGACGATGATTTCCAAAGAAAAAGGCAGGATGGAGAGGACAGACAGACAGACAAGGTCCTTCTTTCCCTTGCCTTTCCTGACAGTAGACTTTCTCCTCCTGACCAACACACATGAGCCCTGGGCCATGGCAAGAGTTCAAGCTGAGTGCAGGCAGCTGTGGACACCGGTCCCAACGAGGGGAAACGCCACTTGTCACAGCCCCTTCAACAGGCCTCAGTTTTACTCTAGCAATCTTTACTTCAATGGCACTGAAGGCCAACCTGGACTAGAGGAATGTAGGAAAGAGAAAGAGAAAAAGAATGCAGCATAAAGCCAGTAAGCATGACACATTCCTGCCCTGACACACCTCAGCTGTGGGACAGAGACCTACACATATTCACATCTGCTGTAAGAGCCTGACTCAGGGAAAAGGGGGTCATTAAGGGGCAACCTACTCAGCTCCACGGTTTCCAGGAAGATTCATCCAGAAGCACTCCCATGGACTGGACCACCCACAGTGAGCCCACTGAAGGGAATCCCACTCTCCCTAGAGGAAGGTGTAGTCCAAAGGAGGAGGCAAACCAGGCTGAGGTACTTCTGAAACGTGCAGAAACCCAAAGCTCTCCCAGTCTATGAGTGGACATGCCACACAGCACAGAGAAGGCAGTCCCTGCAGATCAGCCACACAGCCTTGGCAACTCACCGCCCCACAAGGGCCTGAGCTCCAGTGGAGGAGAAGAACACGGCTGCTCTCATCTCCCCTAGCCCAAGGCATCAAGCTCTGGTTCAAGAGGATGCTAAGCTCTTCTGAGTTCAGAGCTCACCATGCAAAGCAGAACTTTGAGATTTTAACAGAGTAATGAAGGCTGCTTAAAAGTACACATTGAGTCATATTTACACATCCAGGAGCTGAGGAGGGAATCCATCGCAATTACCAAATTTCATCCGGATATACTCGTACGGGTCTTCCTGCCACAGCTCTTCATCCTCGTCTTTATAGCACATCACCGAAAAAATCACGTCTTCGAAGATACTCTAAGATGAGAGACAGACAGAGCAAGTGGGCACGGGCCATTCAAACAGGACTCATGACATCAGTTTTCCAAAGTTACAGTGATCCTTCTCAGCCAGTTCACACTGGGAGAGGACAGTGGGCGCTGAAGAGCCAGACAGATGGAACTCAAGTACATATAAGCCAGAAGCACATATAAGAAATATGCAAATGCCACCCTGAGACACTGACAGGATGACAGACTTTCACTAGGTCAACCCTAGACATGTCCCAATTTCCTTGTGGAAGAAAAATGTCACCAGGGTTATGCTTACTGGTACTGTTCCTATTCTGAAAATGCTTGACGATGGTATGCCAGTCCTAAGCACCAATGTATCAGCAATATTACTGTTTCTTTTCTTCTTCCATTTTCAAAACACCTGTGATCAGCCGCTAAGCTCAGACAGACCCCATGTGTCTCATAACTACTCACATAAAAACAGGATCATTTCTCATCACTTACTACAAACTGGATGATTCTAAGAGGAAAAGTCTAAAAATCAGCCAAAGGTAGAAAAGAATCTATTACCGCTTACCCTTAGGTCACAGGAATGACGTGAACAAATGAAGTCAGAATCTTTATTAATTGCAAAGAAATGAACTCTGTTTGATCAAAGTGAGTAGGCCATAGTACACAAATTTAGAAGACGTTACATGTGTAGACTTGTGTTCAGATGACGTTAATGAAAGCTGCAGGTACGTTGGTAAATACTGCAATGCCAGCACTCAGAAGGTGAGGAAGAAACATGACAAATTTAAGGCCAGTCTGGACTGTACAGCAAGACTCTGTCTCCAAAACAGTTGGAAAATAAAAAGAAGATAACACACCCAAGTTCTACCCTAGACACAGGAAAAGTGAAGCATTCTCTTGTCACATCTCACCTTCTAGAATTTAGAACTTGGGGGTGGGAGTTAGCCCAGTAGCTCAGTTAGTAGAGTGCTTGCCTAGTATGCACATGGCTCTTGAGGTCCTTGGCTCAATCCCCAGCACCCTGTAAACCAGGTATGGCAGGTGTGGTGGCACATGCCTGTGATCCCAGTATTTAAGAGTTGGAAGCAGGATGATCAGACGTTCAAGGTCATCCTCCACCACACAGGAAGTTTCCCAGTCTGGGCTACATGAGACCCTGTCTCAAACATAGTTTGAAATCATAGTTTGTTGGAGGCAGAGAGCCAGTTCCTTTGAATTCTGAACCTCACTTACTGATGCAAATAAAATTTATTTATTATTGGCCCATCAATTTCCATTCTCATTTGTTGTTTGATTATTGTAAACAATGCTGAAATCTGCCTTTAAATAAAGTTGATATTAAAAACCGAAAACTTCAACTTCAGCTAAAGAACTTAATTCAAAAGAAAAAAGAAAAAAAAAAAGAAGAAACAGCTTTTTTGGCTCATAGCCACAAAAGAAAATGGTCACTTAGCAGACTTCACCGTGTATAAAACAGCACCTCCTCCTTCTATAAAACAGCACCTCCTCCATAAAGCGCTGCTGGCAGCTTTCAAAATGCTTTCACAAAGGGTCAAAACACATTACTCTCAGCCTTACCAGAACAGAAACCAAGTTTCAAACTAGAAACTAAGTTTCAACTAAGCCCAAGCCTCCCAGGTCACCAACCTAAAGGTCTCAGTCTTGGAAGGTTTAAACTTTCTAAGCCCTCCATGGTGTAAGACTGTCATCAGCAGAATGCTGGAAACTGGCAACAGTTGTAAAGCACAGCACTGACTTTCTCCAGAAAACCCAACTTCCTAGACGATGGCTGGAGAGCCACCACCACTGACCTGTACGTGTGGCTTCATCTGCTTCCAGGTCACAGCATGGACGACCCCTTGGTTGAGGTAGTTGAACGCCTGCTGAAGAACACGGGGGGCCACGTACTCTTTCTGTCTGTATTGGTCTAGAATCTTTAGGAGTACCTACAGAGAAAGAGAGCATAAACAATGACAAGGTTAAAGAGGAAGGGAGTCTGAGCCATAAAATCCTGAAGAGGCAGATTTGGGGGAGATTTTGTGAGAAGCTCACACCAGCATTTTGCTTTATACACAGGTCTGTGTTGCAATGAGCTAAAAGGTGTCTCACTCAATTCTAGACATCTCTTCTTCTAACCTGCGAGCTGCTCAGAGCAAGTCTTCCTCCTCCCTTTCCACAGCTGTCCTCTCCTATTTTTAGTAAGAGCACAGATGCGACTGAGTACTTCAGAACCTCTTACACACTCTGAACAGCAGCAGCTTCTGTGTTGAGTGCACTGCCTGCATGTGTATAAGTGTACCTGTGTGTGCAATGCCCACAGAGGCCAGAAGAGGGTGGTGGATCCCCTGGACTGGAGTTAAGGATGGTTATTAGCTGCCATGTGGGTCTGGAAATGGAACCCAGGTCCTCTGCAAAAGCAGCCAGTACTCTTAACTGCTGAGCCATCTCTCCAGCCCCACAAGTTTTTTTATTACTTATTTTACCATTTCTACCGCTATCTCTCATATACATAATTAAAGCGGATAATAAGTACATATACAATGAAGCCAAGCAAACTATACTAGCAATAGATGGGGAGGGAAAAAGAGAAAACGACATGGCAAGGGCAGCACGGACAGACGGTTACTTTAAAATGTCTCTTTCTGGAGCTGGAGAGACGGCTCAGTGGTTAAGAACACTGGTTGTTCTTGCAGAAGACCCAGGCTCAAATCCCAGCACCCACATGGCAGCTATCAACTGTCCGTAACTCCAGTTCCAGGGGATCCAACAACCTGTTCTGTCCTCCTTGGGCATTGCACGACACAGGTGCACTTACCTACATGCAGGCAATACACACATACACATAGGATAAAAATAAATTTTTTTTAAAAGTCTCTAATTAGAAGATACAGACATTCATTCCAAAAATAGTACTGGTATAACTAATTACCCTTTGAAAAGCTTAAAGCAGATCCCTAACTAAACTTCATACGAAAATAAAATCCAGATGAGGAAAAAAAAAAAAACAAAACGCATGGAATTCCTAGAAAATGCGGGGAGTTTTTATTCTAGAACCTCAGAGCTTTGTAAACATAAACTAAAGCTGCCTTTTATTTCTTAAGGACTTTTTACAACCCTGTTTATAAGGAAGAACCTCACAGAGCATCTGTGACTGGCAAGGGCTTTTAGGTAGAAAGCATAAGACCCACCTCCCAGTCCCTGGTCCCCCACACCTCACTGCATCAAGCTTGTGAGCTGCCAAAAATGCGAACAGAACTTAGAAATCAGAATATGAATTCTATTCAAGTTACCCAATATCCAGGCTAATAAAATCTGTCAGAAGTCCAACCACCACCTTCTGAAACTGAAGTTAAAAGGGTGATACTGTGCTGTCCTGACACACCTGGGACTCAGACGAGGTGGGGTGCTGTGAGATGGGGGAGCAGCAGAGGACAGCTCCTGGTGAGCAAACTAGTTTCACTTATCTAGATCCATGTCTTAGTTAACATTTTTGACAAGGACACACAGACATAACATATATCTTTAAATGCATGCTTAAACGGCATTGGGAAATTCTAACACACTTCCAGTGCACAGCAACTTCTAAGGTGCTTCGTGGACTTTAACGGCAGCAGGAAGAGCTGAGGACACGGAACAGCTTCCTGACTAGCCTGGAATCTGAGTTTCCAGACAGATTTACTTATCACTTACTAATTTTCCCTATAGATTATTATAGATATGGACAACAGAATACCTGTGAGAAAATCACAGCTACGACGTTCTTGAACTGTGACAAAGTCCTTTCAGAAAACATTCCATCAAAATAAACTCAAAAAGAGCCTCACAAAAGAAAGCATCTCACCTCAGGATACCAGGCTTAACATACTTCTTCACTTATCAGAAATTTATGAAAATCCCCCCAGGGCCCTGTGTCACTGAAGCCTTGGCCTATGTCTAAGCAGTCTTGGCTCCCCCACAAAGCTGTGACACAGCCAGAAGTAATTATTAACTTTCATTTTTTGAAAAATAGCCAAGATATGGTTCAGCTGACAATACTGATGGACCAATCATCAGAACCCACTTGTCTTTTGCAATTTGTAAAGTTTTTTAAACTTTAACGTCAACATAAACAGCTTCTCGAGAGTTCCCAGTTTTCCTGGTGTGGAATAGATACCCAAACTTCTACAGAAATGTCTCTAAGTTCTGACCTGAAAATCTTCATTAACATCTAAGCTTGCTTACCCTTGAAACAGTGTGATTCATGGTATACAAACCTTCAAAAAAAAAGTTTAGGACAAAGAGGAAAAGCTCAAGGAAATAAACTCCTAAGAAGTCAGAGTTATCAGAAGGACTCAGTCTGACACTGGCGAGGGCTACAGAATCTCAACACGTTTCCAAGGCTCCAGCTTGAGCAGGAGGGGGAACAATAGGTCTGTGGGAGGCAGACAATGACTGGATTCTCAAGCAAGCTGACCCATATTGGAGCCCCACAGCTGCCATTTCACCCTCCCATGCGTACAATTATGAGTCCATGTGCTGGCAATCTTCCTTAAAACAGACAGGAATAACTCAGCAATAATCATTCTTCTACTTAAAGCCATTTTAAAAGCGTAAGTTTATTACCTGCTGAATTCCCACTGCGTAGGTTTTCAAAAAAAATTCAGAAAATTCAAAGTATTCTTTCGTGACATTTCCTGGGCTTCCATACCTTAGAATTCAAAGAGGAAACACCTTAAGTACTGTGAAGTTTAAAGACAAAGCATGCTCTCTAGTTTAAACAATTACTGAAAGATGTATTCTATTGGGCCAGAAAACTAGCACTTTACCTCTAGGTCATCCTTAACATCTGGACAGAAACATTTAACTTTAAAACCAGTAACTCCTAGAAGGCATGGAAACATTATAGCCAACTTGTTTTCCATAAAAGCTTTTAGAATTAAATTTTACATTCTTATGGAGACAAATGTCCATATACACCTTCTTGCATAATCTCTGGATATTTCCAATGAACAAAATAAAGGGAAGTTTTGCATGTTTTGCAGGTAGAGAACAGCCAGGAAAGGCCACTCATCCTTTAGTATTTAGGGCAGTGGGCACAAGCCTGCTTTAAACAGTGAGTGAGGCTTTGCCCTCTGTGGTTTGTTTTGGGTTTTTTTTTTTTTTTGGTCTTTTTGAGACTTGTCTCCTCGTAGCCCCAGCTGGCCTAGAACTCACTATGTAGATCAGGCTGGCCTTGAACTCACAGAGATCTGCCTGCCTCTGTCTCACAAGTACTGGGATTAAAGGTGTGTGCTACCATGCCTACACCCTTTTTTTAAATTTTTTTTTGGTTATTTGGGACAGGGTCTCCTGTAGACCAGACTGACCTCTATATCACTATGTAACTTAGAGCGGCCCTGAACTTGTGGTCCTCCTTCCTCCACCTTCCTAGTACAGAGAATGCAGGCATGCATCACCACACCCAGCTACTCTCTCTGGCTTTAAAGACAAAGAATCATATCCTGCAGAACCCATCCAGCCTATGATGGTGACTGTAATCACCGACAGTCAGTGCAACAGTACCTTTCAAAGAGACGTGTGACAGTGTGCAAGGCCCACTTCTTACAGTTCCACCACACCAGCTCTGCTCGGTCATCCTCATCAATCTGAAGAGTCTCCTAAGAGGACAGAAACACTTAAATCAATTGTTTTGCTGAAGAGCACTTACAAAAACAGCAAAAAATTTGGTACAGATTGAATCACAGTTACATGAAATGAGATTGCTATGCAAATATAGGGTCTTACTTTACACATGGCCAGTAGAAATTACATAAACAAAGTGAATTTCCTGGCCAGTGCTGGTGTTCATACCTATCTCTACCTTCACAGGAACCAAGTGAGCAAAAGCAAAACACAGCACCAAGAGATGATGAGAAGGTTCTACGTTCTGATCTGAGGGATGGGGACAACACTGTTGGCAAAATTCACTGAACTGTTTACTGTTTTTATGGTCACATTAAAACAGAAGAATTTGTTTCAAAGCACGGACAACAGAAACAATATGGACAGCCAAAGGTAGAGTGCTTAGCATGCATGAGGCCCCAGGCTCATCCCCAGCACCTAAATACAGAAGTAAATGAAAGATATAGACAACAGAAAGAGTAGTGCACGTTTTCAGGTCAATTCAATTTTCAAAACTACAAAAGTTAATTTGATGAAAACCACTACTGTTGCTACTGCAGATCAAAATGAGATATACTATCCTTTACTTCATGCAGGCAAGCTTAGAATCAAGCATGCACTTTCAGCAGACATGTTCAGTCACTGTCATTAAAGTACACACCTGAGCACTGTTTCTGCAGATCACTTTGCAAGGTCTGTCAGAAACCCAACACTTCCAAGAGACAACCACTCTTCCACTGCCTGAGCTACATCCCAGCCCAGCCCTAACCATATTCCTACAGTTTAAAACTAAAACATTAAAATTACAAAATATCCAGCAATGAAGCATTTCATAAAAATGACAGTGTAAAGCCTGGAGAGATGCTCAGTGGTTATGAGCACTGGCTGCTCTTGCAGAGGACCCTGGTTCAGTTCCCAGGACTCACATAGAGGCTAACAACCACCCATAACTCCAGTTCCAGGGTATCCAACATCCTCGTCTGACCTCCACAGGCACTGCAAACGTGTATTTATATACACATAGGCAAAACACCCATACACATCAAATAAAATTAAAACCTTTAAATTTTTTTTAGTAGGGCCTAGAGAGATGGCTCAGCAGTTACGAGCACTGACTGCTCTTTCAGAGGACCTGGGTTTGATTCTCAGCACCCATATGGCAGCTAACAACCATCTGTTAACTCCAGTTCTAGGGGCTCCAATGCCCTCTTCTGACCTCTGCAGGCACTGCACGATATGGGTGCACTTATATACATGCAGGCAAATACACTCATACACATAAAATAAAACTCATAAAAAAGATGTTAAAAAATTTAATTAAAAATGACAGCATAAAACCAGTCATAAGAGCAGGCAAGATGGCTCAGCAGGTTAAGGTGCCTGCCACCAAGCCTGATGACCTGAGTTTAATGTCTGGGACCCACGTGGTAGAAGGAAAAAAGCACCAGCTGTCCTGACTTCCACACATACACCATGGCACACGCCTCTACACCCCACTCCATACACATCCACATACACAAAATAATGTAAAAGAAAATTTAAAAGTCATAATTACAAAAACATCAAGAATATATTTCAAGCTGCAGAGACAGGTCGGTGGTTAGGAGCAAGCACTACTCTTGAAGAGGGAGGACCTAGCAACTATATTAGCTGGTTCAGAACTGTGTGCACCTCCAGCTCCGGGGGCATCCAATGCCTCTGGCCTCCACTGGCACCCGCACTCATGTGCCAGGCAGATACACACACACAGACACACACACATATACATAATTAAAAATAATTTTTTTTTAAAAATTCATATTTCAGCCGGGCGTGGTGGTGCACGCCTTTAATGCCAGCACTCGGGAGGCAGAGGCAGGTGGATCTCTATGAGTTCAAAGCCAGCCTGGTCTACATAGTGAGTTCCAGGACAGCTGGGGCTACAGGGAGACCCTGTCTCAAAAAAAAAATGACCAAAAAAAAATTCATATTTCCTTTTTTGGTGAAAGACAAATTTACAGCTATGCTAAATGTACCATTTTTATAAATAAAATACCAAGTATAGAGGCAAGGAAGAAGACTAGAGGAGTATCATATCAAGTTTGTAAAACGTTTTTAACAACTTTTAGTAGAATTAAACATAGTTATTGTTTTATTATTCCTGCTCTGAGCTTTCTAAAAGTATTATGAATTATTTTATCACTTCATTAATAATGATTATCATAGTAGGTTTTTTCAAAGAGCAGACTGGGTAGTTATTAACCCAAGTGTCCAACTTGTTTCCGGGTTTCCCTCAGAGGCCTTACAGGAGGGACCGTCCTGTCGATGATGGTCCGGAAGATCTCCATCCACGTGGTCATGGTCTGGTGACTCACTAGCTGAAGAGGCAGCGAGTACTAGAAAACAGGGCAAAGTAGACAGTGAACTCTTCTACCCTTAGAAATCAGCACTTTAAATTGGGAGGTTAAAATACATAAAATAACTACTATTTGGGAAAAACCCAGCAATTCATGATTCAACCTAAGTTTTAATTTTAAAAAGATCCATAACCATATATGTTTTGTTTTTTTAAGACAGGGTCTCATATAGCCCAGGTTACCCTCAAAGTCACTAAAAAGTCAGAAATGACCTTGAACTTCTGATCCTCAGCGACTCCTGCCTCCCAGGTGCTAGGGTTACAGGCCTGTACTACCTGCTTTTAAACATAGAAATACACGCGGCATTAGTCATTTCTCTGGACCACTTTTAGGTGATTTTTAATCTCTCACCTTCGTGTGCCAAACTTTTAAATTTAACCACTTTGATGAAAATCTTCACCTCACTGAACACGCATGAAGCTCTTGCTCAATTCCTATCCTCTAGGCTGTGGCCTCACACCCCTAGCGACTGCTCCAGAGGCATCCCTCTGCCTTACTGTGTCATGAGCTGCTGGAAAGGGGTGCTTAGCTGCATGCTGAGACAGCTCTGCTGTTTCCCAAAGCTCTCACTCGCCTGGGGAAATCTGGGTTAATTCAAGGGCAGGAATGGCAAAAGTGAAGATGGGGGAGGAGGTGCCCAGGGGCTGCTAAGAAATTCATACTTGCTCATCTGCCACTGCTTCCCTGGGCCTGCAGGACCTCAGGCATCTCTCCGGGTAAGTCCATTGGGCCCTCTGCGCCTTGACTCCGCCAGCCTCACTCACCCTCCCATCTCCCCTGCCCTTCTCTCCGCCTAGCCTGGGTTCTGTTCCATTCCTTGTCTTGGCTCCCAGACATCTGAGGAACCACCACTGCTGCCTGATCCTTTGCATCCAGACCAACCCAGTTCCTTCTGGGGTCCACAGGAGGCCTCTGGGCCTAGCCCCGACCTCACCTCCCTCTGCCTCCCTGGGTCTGCACAACCCGCCTGCCTCTTTCCTGGACGCAGGGGCTAACCTTTCCTCTTCCTGGTCCTTTGCATCCAATCCAGATCAACCTAGCTCCTCAGTGAAGGCCCAGGGGCCCTTGGGGGCCGCCTCCTGCCCCCATCTTCCTTTACACCTCTGGGTGGCACGGCCACAAGCTGCCCTAGACCAGCATCTTTCCTGGGCCCAGCTCCTAGGCCAGTCCAACCCCAAAATTCCTAAGGCCAAAATCTGTCCTGGAGGGATCCAGACCTTAGGAAAAAGCCTGAGAGCATCTGATCCTCATCTGACTTGGGCCTCTGTAGGAACTCCTGAAGACAAAAGCAATCTGGCCACTCCAATACAAAATCAAAAGAGAGAACCAGGAGCTTAGACGAACTAGCCTTTTATGCACAAAAAGTAAACCACAAAGACACATAAAGTTTACAAAACGAAGCAGACCTAAACTTGAAGGCTTGAGTCTCACAAGAATCACAAACTACAAAAGAAATCCACATGCCAAAATCACAAAGAAAAAATTAATAACATGAAAAACCAAAATAACCTATCTCCACCAAATACCAATAGTCCTCTAGAGGAGTACAATTAAAACCCCCTAGAGATAATGGAGGACGTGGAACTCAAAAGAACAATTATAAACATGATAAAAGAATTCAGTGAATTTAAAGAACACACAAAGAAATCAAAGAACTGAAGGAAGATAGGGATAAACTTCTGAATGACTTCAGAAAAGAGCTAGAAATATTGAAGAATACTCAGGCTGAAATGAAGAAGGAAGTGAAACACTCAGTAAGCCAATTAGAAATGACAGGAGAAAGCCTCACCAATAGGTTGAATGAAATGGAAAACAGAGTTTCAAGACTGGAAGATAAAGTGGATGAACTAGACCACTCAAGCAAAGATTATGAAAAAATTTAAAAAGCACAAGAATGGAATATGCAGGAATTGTATGACACCATAAAAAGACCAAACTTACGAATCATAGGCATATAGGAAGGTGAAGAATCCCAAGATAATGGCATGGACCAGATCTTCAACAGAATCATGGAAGAAAATTTCCCAAAATTAAAGAAAGACATGCCCATACAAATACAAGAAGCATATAGAACACCAAACAGACAGGACCAGAAAAGAAACTCTCCACGGCACATCATAGTAAAAACACTACATGTATAGAACAAAGAGACAATACTGAGAGCTGCAAAAGAGAAACAAGAAGTCACATACAAAGGAAAACCCATTAGGATTACAGCTGACTTTTCAGTGCAAACTATGAAAGCCAGAAGAGCCTGGACCAAAGCATTCCCAGTTTTAAATGACCACAGATGCCAATCCAGATTACTATACCCAGCCAAAATGTCTATTATAGTCAAAGGGGGAAAAAAAATCTTCCATGACATAAATAGGCGGAAGGAATTCATGTCCACAAAACCAGCCCTTCAGAGAGTTCTGGAAGCAATACAAAGAGCTAAAGAAAGGAGTGACTATAGCCAAGGGGTTCCAGAAG